TGTGTTTTTGCCACAAAACATCATCTTCACCTTCTTCTGAGGTTTTTCATGATGCTTTTTAAAAAAAAAAGAAATAAACAAAAAAAATCATAAGAGGTGTTTACAGCCTTCAAGAAGAGAAGATTATTTTCAGAGGTACTGTGCCATATAACCCTTTACAAATGTGCCAATTATCTTCAGAACTTAACAAAAATAAAGCTGTATAAAAATGTTTTTACAAATGATTTAGTTTTTGGGCAAGGAGCACGGAGACCTTTCAGATTTTGAACTATCTGCCACAGGAATATTTGGGCCAGTTATTTTCTCTGGATTTCTATACAAAGTGTAAGGTGTGTGGAATCATGAAAATGATATGAACATTTTCCGTTTTGTTTCTTTTTTTTTTCTCCTGGGTGTTTTTTTTTAACATAATGATTGGGAGGGAAATGTATTCTTGTTACATGAAGGAAAGAGTAAACTGCTCGTGGCTCTTTATTGAGACAGAAAGTACCAAGTCGGTGATAATGCCAAGAGTCTGCAACACAAGAATAATAAAAATATTGAAAAGATGAATTGCTTCTTGAATGAGCTAAATTTCTACATCTGTGAGCTAAATCTACAATGTTCATCATCTGCCAGCACACTACTTCCAGTAATAAACAGGAGAAGAACAAATCTTGTACTTCTCTACTGGCAAGTCATAAGTCATCCAGTTTATGATGGGAAGAAATTCCCTCCATGAACTATCATAAGGGTATTTATTACTTTCTATATATGTCATTTTATTGTGACTCAAACACACATCTAGAACGTTCTCCAGATGGAAATATGATAGGGGACAGTGAGTTATTCCAAATGTTACATTTTTGTTAACCAATTTCATTTTTGAGTTGGTGTTGCATATTGTGATATGTTTAAGGCTAACTGGTTAAGCCTGTATTTGTGGAAGGAGTCTGCGCCTCCCCAGCCCTCATAAGCCGCCCGCTCAGGCTTCCGGGTACGCAAGGGATCTCGCAGCGCGACCCTCCCTCCCATCCCATGATTTTCACACCTCATACTCGGAGTACGCCCCCTTATTGGCGTACTGTCCATCTGGACCATGGCACACCTCAGGTCTGTATGTTGGCATATTTGTCTATTTTGTTTCAGTACATAGGAAGGAAGCATATGGTAGGCGTCAGGTTTTCCGGTTGTCAGAAGGTCCTTACCAAGCATGCGTTTCCCGAGTCAGGTAAGCAGACTCTGACTACAAGTGATATTTTGTAAGATGACAATTGTGTGTTTCCCTTTGGAGCAGCATTGTCACTCAGCATCTGCATATGTGAATGGGCTGCATTATCAGAAGCTCGTGGTCATAGAGGGCAAAGCATTGGTTAAAATAATAAGCAGCACCAAAAATTGGAAAGAAGCCATCTGAGAAAAAATAGGAAAAAAGAAAGAGTCAGCACAAGGACAGCAGACATAGGGGCCAGCCAGTGCCTCACAACAGTGGTGTACCTAACATATCTGGCACCCAGGGCTAATCATTTTATAAAACCCCATTCATACTAAAACATCTTTCTGTAGTAAAGTGGCATGTGCAGCACATGCTAGCTTCGGCCAAATGGTGTTAACAGCATAAGGTGCTTAAAGGGGGGGCATGGTTAAATCAAACCTGAGCCTACTCACTGTATGCACAGCACACATATGTCTCATTTCTTGTACCCAAACAATATGCTTTCAT